TTTGCATTGAGTTTCAATCAAAAGAACAGAAGGCTTAGTACGAGCTCGCCAAACGATTAACAAAAACGAAACGAGACCGGGTTCAGTGTTCTGATTGGCCGGCTCCAATGAACCATCCAATCAGAGCATTGAATGCGGTTTCGTTTCGATAAATTCGTAAAACAAACTCATACTACGCCCTCAGCTAAACTAAAAGGATAAGTAGCCCATATGTGATAATTTAGATAATTTAGCACCACCACATGTGATTGTGGTGACATTCCAATAATTTTATCGTTAGTAAAGTACCTAATTAAATATTTTGTATAGTCGTTTGTAAAGTAATTTAAAAACAAATGGCATAAATGGGATTCGAACCTTATAGGCAATTGTTTTAACTATTTGGTTTGTGGTCGGGCGATTGGCAGCAACACAACATGTTTATTATAATTTCCATTTCTCACCTGTACAGGACAAAACCAAAAAAGGGGGTACTGATATACTATATATACATTTCTTTTGAAGTTCCTACCTACCTACTTCAATCCCCAAAAAATAGGGTAGTTTCCTAAATTTTATTTTAATGTCCGTCTGGTACATTATTTTAATACTTTTGACGCGTATTTTTTCTTTTCTCACAATATTAAATACATTCGACGAAATATTAATTTGAAATGTCAGAGCGTGCCACATTTTGTAGCACGTTATGACGTTACGTTTAGACTTAGCGCCATTTTATCTAAGTATTGCAACTTAATAATACGAGAAAATAAAAAATACGTGTCTAATATTTTTTCATTATCTAACTGACGGACTAATTAGATTTTTAATTTTGATACCCTGGAAACTACCCAATTTATTGTGAACACTGAGTGAAAGACTCTTTCTGGGTGGAAGCCCATCGTTTATTTTTCTCTGCACCACCAAGGTTAAACCTGATCAAAGGTCCAAAGGTCTTATAGCTGTATGTGCTAGAAAATCACCAAGAATATACCAGTACCCACCTATATGTATTACAATAAAACACAATCTTCTTATGAACCTCTATTTATTACTTTTACATACATACATAACTTCACGCCTGTCTCCTATGGGGGTAGGCCTCTGCCTACCCCCATAGGAGACGGGAAATATAGGAATTGTAGTAATTGGCGTTCCCTAGTCTCTACTAGGGAACGCCAATTACTACAATTCCTACATACCTCTTTCGCTTTATCAACAGTCCTCAATCATGAAAAATGCATGCTCGTCGGTTAAGGGTACTTTTAATTTGGCCCTTCTTTAATATATTGCCAATCTGGTCACTATATGTCCATCTAAGGCGCCCTCTACCGACGGCCTTTATTACTTTTACACATTGTTTAAACAAATACCCCTAAAATCTTCTCATTTCAGCCGCGTGGACGTGATACCCCGTTTTGAGAGGGAGCTGACGGACTTGCTGTCGTATGACGGTGATGCAGTGGAATTTGAATGCCACGTCTCCGGCAACCCTGAACCAGATATCAGGTGGTTCCATTATAATGAGGTGAGTTTGTGCATAATAAGGCCTACTGTTTCACTGCACTCAACATTGTGTAAGCCTAGTGTGAAGTCATTTGTCCAATCAATATTTTTAATAATGTGCTTGTCATTTCATAATTTCAAATGGTTTGTTAAATAAGAGGGCTGTCAGTACACTAGCGGAATCGATCGTGCTGGTAAACTCACTAGCACAAGAATCAGAGAGCCTAGTACGATTTTGTTTTATTCCCCTCCCCCAATCCCTGAATCCCCAGCAATCCTCAAATTCCTAGTCCCCATAATGTGGCCCAATTTCATTTATTAGCGTTAGGTTTACCGGATGAACCTAAACAAAACAAAGGTGATGTTCTTACGAAGCCGATCACCCTTAATGGGTCTACTCTCGAGGCTGTTTAGGAGTATGTCTACCTAGGACCAACCCTACAGTTTGATAGAAACAACTTCCAGAGGGAGGCTCGTACAAGGGTACAGCCTGGCTGGGCGGCATATAGGAAACTATCGGGTCTTTTCGTCAATTCTACCGCAAAGCCTGCAGAGAAAAGTCTTCAACGACTGCGTCCCTAATAATGACATACGCAGCCGAGACGTGGACACTAACAGTCCGACTGGTCCACCAATTTACGGTGGCGTAGCGAGCTGTGGAGAGGGCTATGCTCGGAGAATCTCTGAAGCATTGGATAGGATAGGATAGGATCCGTAACGAGGTGAACCGATAGGGAACAAAAGTTACCGATGTAGCCCAAAGGATTAGCAAGCTGAAATGTCAGTGGGCCGGTCACATTTGTCGAAGAACCGATGACCGTTGGGGTAGACGTATTCTGGAGTGGAGACCGCGTCTAGGCAAACGTATAGCGTGTATGTAACTCTGTCATGCGGCTGAGTTACAATACTGAATGGTAATAACATAACATAACATCACGCCTTTTTATCCCCTAAGGTGTAGGCGCACATTTCGGCACTTAATGCCACTGTACAATGTAACACCCACTTTTCACTATTTATGTTATGAGTCCCTTGTAATAGGGGGTGAGCCTATTGCCATATACCCCGGCACATTTCCAGACTCCGTGCTACCACTGAGATTTTTAAAAACCCAGTAATACTTTGCCCGACCCGGGAATCGAACCCGAGACCCCTTGGCCGGCTGTCGCACTTGCGACCACTCGGCCAACGAGGCAGTCAATGTTCCATACTCTCAGTAGGAAATAGCAAGAAGTCTATCTACAGTATTTGTCTAGCTTTGCCGACAATTAAATGAGATTTATAACATTTCTGCTTTAGATAATCCAATAGCGACATTACCAGTACAAAACATTATCTATTGAAACATTTCAGTTAATACGTGACTGTCCGGACTTCGAATCCACATTTGAGGAAGGTGCCGCTCGGCTAAAGATCAAGCAAGTCACTGCTGAGGATGAAGGCACCTACTCCTGCGAGGCTGCCAACAACCTCGGCAAGGCCACGTCTAGTGCTTGCCTCGTGGTCTATCGTAAGTCCCTAATATTAAGAACATACTTACTCCGGTGGCTCTGTGACCTAGAAGAACTAAAATGGATGTTTGAGGATGTATGAGTTTGGAATTGAGAAAGTCTTCACAATTTACAACCACTTCTGGCCAGTTATTTTGTTCTTGGAGCGACTCTTATTAGACCTCCGCTGTTTCTTTAGACTTTTATGTGAGTAAATTAACCTGTGATCAGCCTAAGCTATATAGCTTATATATATAAGAAATATTTTCTTTAGCGGTAAGTATCCAGGACGACAACAGATCCGAAAGATTATGCCTCACCTCATAAGTACGGTATCGGCACGGCTCCAACCCAGCAATTAACTTGATAAGTAAATATGAATTTTAAATCGTATATATATATATGTATACCTCTATATCGCGCCTACGGTGCTCTTACAACCTTTTATATTGGTTCCAAAGTAAAATACCCATAGCGGTGCCGTGCCGGCGCCGTACCGGAGCCGAGCTCCTTAGGAGGCAATGACCTTTAATCGTATTCTCATGACGTGGTTGTTGGCCAAGTCAATATGTATTATTTTTAGTATTTGGACTAGTAGTTCAGTCATTTCGTATTTCTACCTGGAATGTTGTCCAGGAGTTTTAAAAATTAGCAAATTTGTAGACTTTGATGTTCTCTTTCCGATTTCCATTTTACAACCTCGTACGTGCGTCGCTCCTGCCGCTGATTTGGGAAAATGGTGGCCTAAACATTTTTTTGCAATGTCACTTTTCCTGTGCATTTGAAGAGAAAACCTTTGACTACAAAATCGAACTACTTACAATTTATGTCTCGACAGCTTTTATGTTTATGTTAAGTAGCTTTGGCGCAAAGGACATTTTTTGAGATTTTCGATTTCGAAATTCTGGTATGTAGGTAATAATTCTGGTAGAATATTAATAGACAGATAAGCTACGTTCAAAGTTACAAGGGTTAGAACCCTCAGTCTCTGTGCTAGCACAGTTTCTGCCTAGATTTGAAAATTATATGCGTGATTTTCATTTTACAGCTCCAGGAGAACCAAATACGCTCAGTCAGCGGCTGCGACGTCCTCCAGCACTGCTTTCTGCGGCTTCCACTCCTCGTTCTACTCCACGAAGCACGCCCGCCAGATCAGTCTCCAGAACACCTGGTAAGTCAGGACCTACTCCTCACGAGGAGTCTCGTACAGGTGTGTCGATATTACCCTTAATTATAAACCTAGCAACCTAAACAGGTATTTATGCGAATGTGTTCCATGTAAAACTATCAAATTTACCTAATAAATAAACTATGTCCCTTTTTTCCTCAGGTCCTGACGCCCGCCGTCTATGCAGTCCGTCTCGGCAAATGGCGCCCTCATTCTACACGTACCCCTTCAACAAGGTGGTCGAAGAGGGAGATCACGTCACATTCAAATGTGCGGTCAAAGGACAACCGTCTCCTTGGACTACTTGGGACAAAGATGGCATCATCATCACCCCATCAGCCAGAATAACTATGAAAGAAAAGGATGATATGCTAAGAATCCTTGAGATTGAACAGGTTTCTATTGAAGATGTGGGGATTTATAGGATTACTATTGAGAATGAGTTCGGGAGGGCTGAGGCGACTGCAAGGTTGGAGGTTATAACGCAGAAGGGCAAGTTCTATGGTGGTGTGCGGGCGTACAGTGCGTCACCGAGGAAGTCCCTCACGTACAGGAGGTACCCGTCCGTACCCAGACAAGACTGAAGACCAAGTTCGGTATGATCATGTAAGTTCCTTGTCAAAATGATCTATTCAATCAACGTTGGTTGATTTTTTGTATATTCTGAGTCAAAAGTTGCATTTTTGACCATAATTTAAATGTGGTTATTGCAAATTGGAAATTATTAATTTTGAACTATTTTGACAGCAATGCGAATTCGGGTACCCATATTTATTTGTATGCATTGCAATTTTCGCCTTTGCGAATTTTGTTGTATCTATTGCTTTATATTTCTTTCTGACAATAAATATGTTATTTCAGGAAAGGAAACACCACGTGTGAAGATATATATTTATGATAAAAGTAATGTTTTGTTTTTCTTTTCATTGTAATTTATTTTCTATGCATTTTATTTATGACTTTTTTACTATTATGACCTAACTTTGTTTTGACAAAGTTAGAAATGTTAAGTTTTTGTTTTTTTCTGTTTGTCTATTTATAAGGTTAAAGTAATGAAATAAGACGAACACATTTTAGTGATCACATTTTGTATTTTCGTTCACATTTAGATTATAAAGAAAATTTGTAAAAACACACATATATATACATATTAACAATCATCTTTATACATTATAACATTACCTATTTATATATAGTACACATAAATCTAAATCTTATTTAAATACTTGCAAAGTTACGATTAATAAAATATATTTAATAATTGTATGTCTTTGTTTCATTATGATATCTACCTATTTATTTTATTTTAAATGTTATTTTTATTAGATATTATAAGGTATTGTACAATTATTTACTACTATTATATACAATGAAGCCCTGTAGGTTTTCTTGTCAATCAGGTGTCTCAGTCTATCATCTCTTTGCATTCACAATTATCTTCATCTCTTTGGGTAATGGCTCTCTGATGATCTTTTGTTGTCTCTGTATTTGTAACTCCATTCACCTTTCTACTGGGTTCTCGTTGTTTGGATAATGTAAGAAGTTAATTGTACGCACGGTACCTATATAGATGGTTGTAGTTGGACATTTGAGCTGGTACTACTTTCATGTGTCGATTATCCATGTGTGTCTTCACACATCCTTGCTATGTGTTTCCATCTTCGCAGGTTCGTTGCGTAGTAAGAATTTAGTATTTGTGTTAGTTTTTCGTTTGACTGTATATAGTTTATTTGGTTATTATTTTCCTTTGTGATCTTGTCACTGTTTTTGACTGGCAATAGCCGAGTCATGATAGTTTACATTATATTTGTAGTCGTAGTAGATATAAACATATTCACATTTAAGTTGGCATCATAATTTAAATCATAGAATGTCCATGTACATATGTGTTTGAAGTCTTGATTAGGTCCAGTTTAAGTCAGTTGATGTGGGTTCCAGTGAGACGAAGCAGGATCAGTGCAAGCTGGTATGTCTTGTGACAGGATTTATACCTGGAAATAGGAACTAAGTAAATATTGTTAATCAATATGAACCTATAAATTGTGATATCCTGATGCCATATATATTTTTAATTTTTAGTGATTTCAAAATTGAACTATGTATGTTTTATTTAGAACTTATAATGGGTATCTGTTTTTAATTCGCCGCTAGCAGCGCATAGCATTATAGAATACTACGTAATAAAAACTTAGCAGTTTGAGAGCAACCCTAGTAGGTACCTACGTACCTACTATAAGCCCATTGCCGGTCCTAGTAAGAACACAGTCACATTCACCAGTTTTACCTCATTATTGAATGTGATCTATCGAACTACTTCATTCAGTCTTTGTTGATTGGATATTCAACTGAATTCCTTTAGTAATAGCATTGCATTTTGTAAACCATATATACAGATATTTTGACGGTGATTTCAGTCGCTTAGCACCACACAGTTTTAATATTTATTTATTCATTGAATTTAAAGGTCGCAAGCTATTCTAAGCCTTATAACTAGGTTGTAGAATTTATATTTGAACACTTACGTCAATCACCGGCGCTGCCTGGTCTCGCGCTAACAGTCGGCTGAATCGGAACTGTTGGAAAAAAGTTATTATTATAAATCTTATAAATTTTCAACCTTATTCTAATAGTATAAACTTCAGAGTTGAATATCTTTAAAAAACCAAACAAAGGTTTGTAAAAAGACAGTTTAGTTAATGTGTTGTGCTTTTTTTTGTCGTTTGTCACTCGACTCGATCTTTAGAACCTTATGATATTGAATAATCGACTGGTGAATGCAATATTACTGTTATAAAAGACTAGTTATAAAATTATATAAAACAAAATGTTTTAGAAAACTAATGCCCGAATACTGAAACCTTACTCAATTTTCAGTCACGCTTAAGTATAGTTCTGTCTCTTCTACTTCTTTGTGAAATGACAGAGATGGCACGATATTTAAGCACGACTTAAAATTTAGTAACGTTTCAATATTCGCATAAGTCTTAGAGATACGTACGGATCCACTCAGACTAGAGCTCGGCTCGGACACGATGGAATCCGTCCTGCAGCAACAGAAAGAAATCCTTGTTACATACATCACCATAATTTCTACAAAACACACGACAACATTTCCCTACACGATCGCCACCATTTCATATATTCGCTGCTGCAATAGTGCAATTAGGATGCCTTAGCGAACTCGCTGTATCTAAAAACCTAAACATTCGCGAATTGCCTAATATTCGTCTAAAGTTCTACTCAGCCTCTCATTACCTGAATCTTGAGAATATTTTTGTAACCACGTTTGCCAATCACGATGTCGCATGCCCGGGTTGAATCATACGTTCTCTTACTGCAAAATTCTTAGTAATAGTACAGAATCTAGAATTGTGCCCTATATTAAAGTATACTTAGGCCAAGATCGATATGAATTCCATCCCATCCTCTTGATAAGAGTGAGAAAGAGGATGTTATATCATTTAGTGTCAGAAAAAGAAAGCAATATAGAAAAGTTCTCTTTAATGAGTCTAGATGTATTCCTAGCTTTTTTTGGATTGTCAATCTTGGACTAAGTTTAGTCAATGAGACACACAAAATTTTAATTATCAAAACAGAACACTATGAATAAAGTGTACCGATGATATCTCAATGCCATAAATTATCTAAATATACAATATAAGACATAGTTGTATGTGCATAACGCTTACACACCCACTGATGGGTTAGAAGTTGGTGCCACAAACCCATAACATAATATCACGCCTTTTGTTAGCGAAGAGGTAGGCACAGGTGCACATTACAGCACTTAATGCCACAGTACAATGTAACAATATGCACTTTATGTAAATAAGAATTATGTTGAGCGTGTCAACTAAACTTAAATAATGTTATTCAATTTGGTGAAATAATTAATACACACGTACCTGTCGAAGCTATCAGTTTTAAATATCGAGTTTCCCCACATGCTTATCCTTGTACAACAATTTCTCACCATCTTTATACAACGCGCTAAGATCCTTCTGGGCAGTGATCTTGGCCTCACGGGAATGGCGTATGTTATAGGTAACTGCCCATCATCTAGAAAAGAAATATGTCGCAGAATTGGTTATAGCTATAAACCTAGAATTGATCGAAATAAAAAATAATAAATCATGAAAATACTTACGGTTTTCTTCCGCTATAGTTATGATATGTATTGCATTTTTTGTGGTGAATGTTATCACCGAATCTACAGCCTTAAGTTCTTCAAGCGGAGCCGTTTTTGTAGAAACTACACTTGCTTGACCTTCGTTATCGACGGTTTCTTGGAATGACTCTATTTCTACATCGGGAGATGGGGAAAGCCCCTCAGCCCACGTTGGTGGCACCCATTTTGACGATGACGGTGGCATGACTTTGATGGGCTCTTCGAGGTCTTCGAAAAGCCCACAAAAGTTTTCTCCACCTTCTTGTTCTATTATTAAAGAGGGTGGAGAAATGGGGGGGCTTTTTAATTCTATCATGTTTTTCTTCGTTGGGCTTTCAAATTCATTCTTTTCTCTATAAGGCCGGTGATAAAGATAGTCATCATTTTTTTCTTCTAAAACTAATGTCTTTGTTATAGGCGGAGACCTGCAAAGTACTGTGCTTGGTGTTGATGAAGTTGATGACATATGTACGATGGGTGTTAAGCTGCTGTAAAATTTTACTCCGAAACATTGTAATCCAAGATTTGAAGGGGGAGTCACTAAGCGCCGTTCTGTTGGTGTGAGTTGTAAATGGTCAGGTTTATATTGGCAAAGTCTTAGCACGGTTGGTTGGTGGTACTCATTATTATAATTCTGTGGTCTGCTAACAATCGCTTGGGACAATACTTCGCGACTATTTGGTCTATCTAGCCCGGGGTTCGTTCTATTAAATTGGGGCAATAATTGTCGTCTTGGTGGAACCGGTGGTATTAGACGGCGGTGGGTTCTATATGTAGACTCCTGACAAACCGGGTAGCGTCTTGGTGGATCTGGTACATTTAGACCATCGTTCTGTCGCTGACATCTCAGGCCTGCTTGGGGTGTCACTTCTCGTCTTAGATACCCATTAAGCCGGTGAGGGTATGGTAAGGTTCGTACGGGGACTGGCAATGATCGTAGTCTCAATATAGGTTGTACACTCTCCAAATGTGACCAGCGGCTCGGTAATGGCATGTTTATTACTCTACGGCTTACTTGACGATGTGGCAAGTTACGGGGTATAGGGGGTAATAATCTTCGAATTTGCCGGATCTCGGGCCTTATAAGAGGACTGTAGTGTGGCTGACTGGTAGAAGAAGAAGTGCTTTCTTCAGAACTCATATAGATATCTATATCATAAATATTTCTATAGGGCTTGGTGCAACGTTTGACTTTTTGTTTGCATTTAATGCTATTAAAGTATTGGGCCCACGATGGTGTTCCAGGCCTTCGAGCGGGCACTATTGACTTTAATAATAATCGGTTACGAAGGTTTGAGTCTGAAACAAATATTTATTTATTTTTAAATTTCTCATATGACTTTATACACATTTCTAATGAATGAAAAAAGTACTTACCCGGTTTTTGTGAATAGATTACATTTCCGTGTATTTTAATACGAATAAAATATGCCCATTTGTTGACTGATATTATCAATTTATTAAGCTCCTTCTCCTGTTTTAGGCGATTTAAATTATTTAGAATTTTCTGCAATAGAAAAGTAATAATTATTAAACTAGCTGTTGCCCGCGACTTCGTCCGTGTAGAATAATGACTTTTGACAGAATTTGGAACTTTGGATCAGTCTTTTCCAAGGTATATTCTACGGCTGTGACAAATGCCACCTGAATCGATTCAGTGCCTAAGTTAGACTTATAGTGAATTTATTTAATCATCGTGGTTTCAAAAAATAAATAATCCTGCAGGAATTTTACTAGTAGTGTCCATTCCCGTAAGGTTTTAGTGATAACGCAGCTTGTTCGTCCGCGAGTCACTTCCCCTCGGGCGTCCTTATGAGCACCCGGTGGATCATAAGAAAAAAAGCTCCATGCTGCTTCCTCTTTTATAAAATCTATTATTAATGTTTTGTTTTTATTTTGACTGTATTTGTTTTATTTTTATTGTAATGATCCTTGTTGTCTCAATGGCCAAATAAATGCATTTTGTTGCATGCATAAGGATAAGGAAATGCATAAGGAACGCGGACGCTCGACGGGTTAAGAAGGTTTTTAACGCTTAGTTCCTGTAGGATTTTCGTAATAAAAGTCTACATGCTTTCTCGATTCTCAAACTATATCTGTACGTCATTTAAATCGATTCAGTGGCTTAATTCGTTGAGTACCGTATTTATAGACACAATTAAAGAACAATAGGTCGCGGTCACCGGTGACCGCTTGGTGTTTGACAGTTTAAAGACTGGTTTAATTCTAAAAATATTGTTAACATTTAGAACTAATTGTTTCGTTCGTCTTAATTTATTCGTTCCAGTAAGTACTGATAGGTTCAAACTAATAAATTTACATCCCTTATTTTATCCCCATGGAGGTTAAATTTATCGGAAGCCTATTAGCATACGTCTTCATCATAGTAGCTCCAATCCGGATGCACGACATTTTCAACTCCCATGACGAGCAGCCGCCTTCTTGGATCTCATTTTGACAGCACCATCAGTTTTACCACCCTCGGAAAACCACGAAAATGACACCAATGACGAAAAATTGAATAAAAGTGTGCAACGGCAAGTGCAAGTAGTTTTATTACTCTTTGAAAACCATGAGAACAGCACTCAATAAGAAAACAATATTATTACGTCAAGCAACGCCACGCGTGGTAAATTTTGTAACTTTAAATTGGGCATAACCACTCTGTTACATTACGGCTAACTGTGTATATTGAGTAACGCATATCTCCGAAAACTATCTGGCTGATTTTCACTCAGCTGTATTCCATTCGGCTAATCGTTCAGCCGTTGTATTACAAAACACACCTGGTTTGCTAAACGGCTAGCCGTAATGTTATACGGCAGATTATACAATTCGCCTGTGACATATAGTATAGATGAATAATAATATGCAACGTGCAACGGCACTATACGTGGGTACTTCAATACTGTGAAGGGATGTGTCCAGCAAATATGAAAAGAAAACATATTCCGACACTCTATCAAAAGATGAACAACGAACCAACGGCTTGTAAAATACAATAAAATAATAAGTATTTTGAAAAATATCGCTGAAAATGTAACATTTTCAGCTGTTGTTTTCGAGAACACGAGCTTGGCGCGTTGAACTCTTCTGCATGTGCAATTTGCATCAACGAAATATCTAAAATGCGCTCTATTTGGTGCATAAGGTTTTGACCACCTGATTAACTAATTTAAGTCATTATGATCCACCAAAAAAGTTATAAGTTTTATGACATACGAATGATAATTTAAAGTACATAATTTAGATATAATCGTTTAAAATCCATTGAATTATTACTATATATTCAATATCTATTCATTACGTTTATCTAAAATCATTACAATCCAAGAATTAGGCAGAAAAATCATTCACAGTTTCAAACTTAATTTACAGCAATTATATTATAAAAATCCAATGTAATAAAGAACGAACCTTTAACAAAACATCGATTATCTAACCAGACACCTAAGAATTTTCGAAAATCTAAAAAACAAATATAAAACTGCCCAACTTGAAAATCAGATCAAAGATCGAACTAACTAGCATAAAGAAAATCTTATTCATTGAGAATCAAAAATCGAAAGCTAATCTTTTCGAAACCATGAAGGCAAGAATTTTCTCACGACGAGATATACTAAACTAACTAAACTACCTTTTGCGAGTTTTTATACTTATACATATAATATCACTATCACTACATAGTATAAAACAAAGTCGCTATCCACCTTCTATCTGTCCCTAAGTATGCTTAGATCTTTTAAACTAAGCAACGGATTTTGATTCGGTTTTTTTAATAGGTAGAGTGATTCTTAAGGAAGGTTTATGTATAATACATGCATATTCCACATATCCTTAAACTTAAAAACTCGCAAAAGCTAGTATATGTCTACCCGGCTATACTTTATAGATACTAGTGATATTATATAAGTAACGACGACAAAAGTAACTCTAAAATAGGGTAGACGACTAATTTTTATTTTAATGTCCGTCTGGTAGATTATTTAAAAACATTACACACTTGTTTTTTATTTTCTTACGGAAACGAATAGTTTTGATGATATATTGATTTGAAATGTCGCGTGACGTCACTTCTCAGTATATTTTATACCTACTAAGAAATGACGTTTTAGCCCCCACTCCTAAACTTTGATTCGTTTTATCTAAGCATTGTTTTATTATACGACAAAATAAAAAAATACGTGTCTAATATTGTTTAATTACCTAACTTACGGACTAATTATATTTCTAATTTTCATACACTGTCATCATCCCCATTGTAACAGATACCCAAACAGAGTCTGAACAACAAATCCAAGAAATGACGTCACACGGAAAAGAGTTAGCAGGTGCAACATCAATGAGAAACGAGCGAGAGAAAATGAAGATACTAGTGAAGAAGGTTTTATTACAGTCACTAGAAGGAGACCTAAGAGATTAATTCGAAAAGAGATTGATTCTATTGACAGTAATAACAAAACAGTACATAACATAATATCACGCCTATTACCCCCGAAGGGGTACGTAGAGGTGCACATTATGGCACTTAATGCCACTGTACAATGTAACAGCCACTTTTCACTATTTATGTTATGAGTCCCATGTAATAGGGGGTGAGCCTATTGCAATGTACCGGCCACAATTCCAGACTCCATGCTACTACTGAGAATTTTGAAAAAACCCAGTAATATTTTGCCCGACCCGGGAAAAGAACGCGAGACCCCTTGCCCGGCATTCGCACTTGCGACTCGGCCAACAAGGCAATAATATTCAATCAAAAATGATTTAGGTATGGTTTCTACAGAAAATACATTGAGTCTAGAAGAGACTGAGTTCTGTTTATTTTCTCCAATTATGCTACCCAAACAAATCGTATTAGCTAAATTATTAAAAGTGAAGGTATAAAAAACATAAGCCCAATCAAACTCAAAAGTGGGCATCGACTATTTGTACAGTTAAGCAACAAAACACAAGTTGATAATATGTTCACGCAATACTCAAAAACGACTGCTTCGATTACGATGAAACTTGGTATGATTATACTTTAACATCCTGGAGTATATTTACGAAAGAACAAACTTAATTGTGCGGCTCGGTCCCAAAACAAAATTACTGTACAAAACGCAAATATAACTTTGTCGAAGGTTAGGTTGCTGGCAGTAGAATACACTGTAACTGTAGAGCCGATGGTTGAAATTAGCTTGAACCGATATTATGAATGCGAAAATATGTGAGCTCGTGTGTTTGTGTGTATGTTTGTTACATAGTCACATTAAAACGGCTGAAAGGACCTAGATGAAATTTGAAACAGAGCTAGATCACTCACGGAAAACAGCAAAAACACATAGATTAATAGTAGCGTTGCGTATATTAATAGTAGCTATTAATGATTTAGGAGTTCCTTAGATAACATACTCCTTCATCATCAGGTCCCTAATGACAATCATACCCCATTTAGGTCAAAAGTTCTCATCACTACAAATTAATCAAGCCCAAACACCAGGTAGCTACTGTCAACCGTTGAGGAGTTCCTTTAGCTACCATACTCCTTCGTCATCAGGTCCCTAATGATAATCATACCCCATTTAGGTCAAAAGTTCTCATCACTACAAATTAATCAAGCCCAAACACCAGGTAGCTACTGTCAACCGTTGAGGAGTTCCCTCAACTATCATACTACTTCATCATCAGGCTCCTAATGACAATCACACCCTAATTGGGTGTAAAGTTCTCATTAAAACAAATTAATAAAGCCCAAACACCAGGTAGCTGCTGTTAACCGTTGAGAAGTTTCCTTAGCTATCATACTCCTTGATCATCAGGCCCCTAATGACAATCACACACCATTTAAGTGTAAAGTTCTCAGTAATACAAATTAATCAAGCCAAACACCAGGTAGCTACTGTCAACCGTTGAGGAGTTCCCTTAGCTATCATACTCCTTCATCATCACAATCACATCACCGTAGATATAAAGATCTTCTCAATACAAATAATTTAAGACCAAACACGGGGTTATTGCTACAAATTCTTGAGGAGTTCCCTCGACTGCCTCTTGACTCCATCATCAGATCAACTACATACCTTTGTAAAATAATAAACTCTCTTTCTTCCCCTACAATTTTAAAAAGTTCCCCTCGATACCCATATGATCCCATCATCAGATCCTGACCTGGTGGCAATGGGACCACCCCGATCATGAATAATAGACTAATTACAGATAATATAATACAGGAAATTAAACAAGAAGTCAGCCTTAACATGTAAGCAGTAGAAAACACACAATATAATTAAACACACGTAATCACTCTAAATATCGATTTCAATAACTCTCCCCCTTGTAGCGAATTAAACGAAATATACCTAAATAATACTCCTGACAACATGCATACACACTTAATACACACTTAATACCACAGAATTTTAAAACGAAACCACAAATACTATGTTTACTGAATCCCTCGATACTAAAATTGTAAAAATTTTTGAAGAACACCTATAAAAAATATTCACTGATAGACAAAATAAAAAATGTCAAAAGAGCTAGCTTACATTATTTCATATTTAAATAGAACAGTTTTAATCAAGTAGGGGTCAGTCGAAGACGACTTCCTATCCTAAGGACCCACACGCTTATATAGAGGTATTGTGCTGTTCATACCGCAGCTCTGTGTAATGATTCCAAAATCAAAGGAAACAAGCAATAAGTACAAAACAACAACAACACTCCACAATAGACAAGAGACCGACTGGTTGAAGCGCTTAGACAGAAACAGAATTAATAATACGTAAAGAGATAGGTAGATTCACACAATATGTCAACAGCAATAGAAGTTTAGGACTAATTGCACATCTTGAAAGGATAAAACACCAATATTCCAGTTATAAAGAGCCCAACACAACAAATGAACAATTCATGAACAGTTTAAAACGATAACTCACCGCCATTACAAGTCAGCGACGTAGGTACTCAAATTGTAGTAAGCGTAAATATCAAAACAATCAATTCATAAATAGCGAAAGACAATATTCAATGGAAACCTCACCATAGATACATTAAATACACTAAACAGACTATACACATCATAAAATACTAGTCCTAACTCTGAACAATTCACACCTACTGGTCAAGCATTTATTCCAAAACCTCACAACACAACCACGCAGCTACATGAACACAAAACGACAAAGAAAAATTAGAAATATGCCAGAAATAGTGTTCCATGCGGTACCACTAGACATTTTAGTTAAAGTCATTCGGAAAGCACACAATGTGAAGGCTCCGGACACTGACCATATACACAACTAACATGACAAGAAATTAACTCACTTACACCCATCAATTTATAAACATACTAGCTTTTACCAGCGGCTTCGCTCGCGTCACAAAAGGATAAAAAGTAGCCTTTGTGACATATACCAATACACACAGCGTCATCTATACCAATATTTTTGTTTCCCTTGGGAATATCACATTTTTCCGGGATAAAAATCTATCTATTATTTAATCTGGACTTCTAACTTTACGTCTGCAAAATTTCAAAGCAATCGGTTTAGTAGTTACGGCGTGAAAGCGGAACAAACAAACAAACTCACTTTCCGATTTATAATATTAGTAAGGATTAAGAATTTCATCACAAACTCCCAAACTATACCAGAATTCGTCACTAAATGTCTAACCTACATGATTCCAAGGACTCCGACCACCTGAACCCAGCTACATACAGACCTATAACTTGCCTGCAAACTATTTATAAACTAACTACCGGTTGCATCTCAGAAGTAATGTACAAACACACATACAACAATATTCTAGCGAAGGAGCAAAAAGGATGTCGTAAGTATAGCCAGGGATGTAAAGAACAGCTTACAATAGATTTTATAGCCATGAAACACAATATTAAATTAAAAATTGATATTTGACAATATACGTAGATTACCAGAAGGCTTTCAACACTGTCCCTCATAGTTGGCTGCTCTACATTTTACAACTTTATAAAAATAATCCAGTCATTATAGATTTAGTAGGTAAATTAAAAAAAACGGAACCCATACCCATTAAGCGAGGTATTTCTCAAGGTGACGCCTTAAGCCCACTCTGATTTTGCCTTGCTCTCAACCCCCTATCAGATCTTCTTAACTATAATCCATAGATCTAACTTCAATGACTACTGCAGACGTTGCTATGGTGCTTCTAAGACCATTCAGCACATCACGGGAACACGTAGAGCCATAGCCCAAACCGACTATAAACATCGCCACGACCAAGTTGCTTCAAGAATTAATCAGTCCTTAGCTATCCGAACGAAATTGATTACAGAAAAATTAGCATATTATAAATAGAACCCACAAGCTGTAATAGAAAATAAAAACTGCAAATTGTATTGGGATAGAACCATAATTACAGATAAAACTATGTACAATAATAGACCGGATAATACAATGTTAGACAAAAGACATAAATTAGTTTATATCGAAGACATTGCCATATATAACACACACAACCTTGTAAAAACGCACTCCGAAAATTGCAAAATACACATATTTATCCATAGAACTAATAAAAACACAGTGCAATGTTACTCAGACCAAAACTATCCCAATCGTATGTATTATCCACTACGGGAGTTATTCCAAAATCCCTACACAATAGACTCGGCACATTATATATCAGCCCTCTGCTTACTTCCTACAAAAAGCAGTTATTAAAAATACATGCCGCCTTACTCGCAAATTTTTAAATAGTTAGGATCATTGACACGCACTTGGCTTCGGCCTGTGCTTCTTCAAACCCCACTAAGATGGAAGAAACGTAACAGTTATCAAGGAATAATAATAATATTTTTTTTCAAATATCCAAATGACGTGATCAAATGAAATTACCTGTACACTCGCCTCGTCTACCACTCCGGGCTCAGTCAGGCCCCATTTCATGTAAGTATCATTTCAATACAAACTCTTATCTTGCTAAATCGTATTAAAAAGTCGGAGAGTATAAAGTGCTCGTGGGCTCGACGCACACTGCACATAGTTTCCATTTCACCCGGAGCTTGGGAACGGGGCAACTACTTGTTACTTCTCACTCGAAGCGTCTCATTCTATGTCCCGTACATACGAGCTGTTCAAAATACAACCTTAGTTCTCTCAGCAGAGAGTATATATTACTATACATTACGGTTGGTTTCCAGTCGGGTTAAATACATGAATGAGTGTAGTTTCAATTTAGTTCAATGCTTTTATTTTGAATTAACTTTATAGCTTTATGTTGGTTGGTTAAGCGGTTTATACCAGATTTTGTTTTTTTTTTATAGAGTTTGGGAGTTATGGTATTTTGAGGTTAGGCTGTTAGGAATGCTATTTTGTACGTGAGCCCGTTATTGCATGTGTTATTCAATATGTATTTTTAACTATTATTTTTCACGCATCAACTTGTTTGCACAGTGAGCGACTGACTGTTGCCCAACGTGTTGCGGGTTCAGTTATAATAATATTATACAAAACAATGTATTAATTAACCCATTGAGTACCGTCATTATAGACACAATTAAAGAACAATAGGTTGCGGTCACCGGTGTCCTCGCGGTGTTTGACAGTTTAATTGTGTAATTATTAGTTATTATTTAGCAATATATAATTCAAAGGTGACTGACTGACATAGTGATCTATCAACACACAGCCCAAACAACTAGACAGATCGGACTGAAATTTGGCATGAAGTAGATGTTATGACGTAGGCATCCGCTAAGAAAGGATTTTGATAATTTCCACCCCGATCGAGTTGAAATTGAGTATGCAGGTAGATGTTATGACGTAAGTATTCCCTAAGAAAGGGTTTTGATTATTTTTACCCACAAGGGGGTAAATAGGGGAAGAAAGTTTGTATAAAACTTTGTCAGTTTTGCACCGATCGGCTTGAAATTCGACATGCAGGTAGATGTTATGACGCAGGCATCCTGTAAGAATAGATTTTGATCAATTCTACCCCCAAATTTGGTCACCAAATAGGGGGTGAAAGTTTGGATAAATCTTCTTAGCCATTGAATCTATTGAATCTAGAATCATTGAATCTTTTTGAGTTACAGTCGTTAAAACCATAATCTGAGATCTGGAACATGAAGACACAGAAGTCCCACGGGAACGGGAACAATGCGTTAAAGCTCCGGGACTCTCTTGCCGGAATACTGAAACGTTACTTAATTTTAAGTCGTACTTAAATATCGTGCCATCTCTGTCATTTTACAAAGAGTTTGTGGAGACAGAAGTATACTTAAGCGCGACTTAAAATTTAGTAGCGTTTGAGTATTTCGACATCTATCAACCACTGAACTTATTTTAGAGAGATGCGGTACAACAATAGTCGATAGAATAGTTTTTAACACCAACACCTTGAACGGACGCTCTACTGGCAAAATCCCTGCGGAATTACTTATTTATTTTTTGAATCCACAATAAATTCATTTTACAATAAATCTCACGTAGGCACTGAATCGATTCTGATGAATTCTGCCAGAAGTCATTATTCTACGCGGACGAAGTTGCGGGCAACAGCTAGTTAGTAATATGACTACTGGTAACTAGTTCAAAGTTTATTCATTAATTCATAGTTGTATACGCATATTTCTATGAGTCACTGAGTAATATTGATTAAATAATTATTAATTATTTTATTAATTACTTAATTCTCATATTGTTATTATGAGTCTAAGTATAATATTATGTATGTGAAATTACAATTGTTCGTAGAAGCACACACGATAGAAGAAAATCTTAAACTATGAGGACACATTTAAAAAACATAACATAGCATAACATCACGCCTTTTAACCCCGAAGGGGTAGGCAGAGGTGCACACAGCAGTAACACCCACCTTTCACTATTTATGTTATGAGTCCCACGTAATAGGGGTGAACTCCAGACTCCGTGCTATTACTGAGATTTTTTTTTTAAACTTAGTATTATTTTGCCCGACCCGGGAATCGAACCCGAGACCCCTTGCCCGGCAGTCGCACTTGCGACCACTCGGCCAACGAGGCAACATTTAAAAAACTAAGTAAATTATGAAATAAAGATACAAAATGTATAAAAAAAAATATTATGTACTTACGTTAAATCGGGAACTTTTGTTTTTGTATTCATACACCACACAGGAGCTCTGAACTATAGCCAGTAGGTCAAAGCTTGTTTCAGTCCTTACAGAGAGAAAACCAAAGACCTTTCCAGTCATTTTTGGTTGTGTCTTCCGTATCACCAGCTTAGCGGTAGTCAATTGCCCTTTTTGCTGAAATACATACATTTATAAATTGATATATTACATAAAGAACCGAAGCACGCAGTGGGCCGAGGCAGTCTTTCAAAGAAAACAATAAATAGTGTGTCTCAAAACAGAAATTTTTCGTCTGTGTACTTATAGACAGAGTTCCCCTTGCATTATTGTTTGCATGTACATCGACGGGCCTACCTGACCGGGTGCTGCACGCCTTAATCTTTAAATCAACCACAGGACGTCCACTGTAGGACATAGGCGTCCCCTAAATAGAATTGAGAAATGTTATTAGACAACACGGGATGCAGGTGTCATCCATGCCAATCTACAGCAGTGGATGTCAAGTGGCTGATTTATTGATAGTGACTACCATATCATCAAGCCACTTATCCCTCAAAGAGTAAAGATTTAAGAATCTTACTGTGTGATGCTTTATAGTTTTTATCATCTACAGAGTGTTCGATGTATGTTAATAAAAATGCATCACCAATATGTATGTCTGCCTATAACTGACAAATGACTGTGTGACGGCGAATTGGATAATTATAGTTTTGTCATGTTCGTTATCGTTAGGAAAAAGTTTATGTAAAAGAATAGCGTCCAGGTGAAGCTGGAGCAGGCCACTAGTAATAAAATAGAAATTACTATGATCGAAACTCAATACTTATTTATTTATTTCAACTTTATTGCACATACACTGTGTAATGGGGTAGTTTCCTAAATTTTATTTTAATATCCGCTTGATAGATTAATTTAAAACTTTAGACACGTATTTTTTCTTTTCTCACAAAATTAAATACTTTCGACGATATATTAATTTGAAATATCGTGTGATGTCATAGTGTGTCACATTTTGTAGCACGTTATGACGTAACGACCTCCCATTCCTAAACTTAGCGTCATTTTATCAAGTATTGCAACTTAATAAGATGAAATAAAAATACGTGTCTAATATTTTTTCATTATCTAACTGACGGACTAATTCGATTTTTAATTTTGATACTCTGGAAACTACCCAATTAGTGGACTTAATGTCGTAGGCATTTTCTGACAATTGAAGATCGGGTGGTAAAGAATTTAAAAGCGGTAGGTGATAAAGAGGTATTATGCATGGCCTTGGAATCAAAAATCTTTTCAGGCACTCTATGTGTAGGTACTCGTGTGATAACAAACAAGTAGAATAAGAAAATTGTACGAAAATTCACAAATTGGCCTGAACCTGATCTTCTAGTAGTTGTTTTTTTCTATAATCCGATAAACGAACAGACGGATAACCTAATGATAAGCAATCGGCGTTTGCCTTTTAGGAATTAGGAGTTTGAGGACTGTTGGGGATTCAGGGAATGGGCAAATTGGGGAAAGAGGGGGTGGGGAAATTGGGCCTACTATAACCTCACTCAGACGACAATGCAAGTGTTATTTCACGTCGGTTTTCTGTGAGGCCGTGGTATTACTCCGGTTAAGCCGGCCCATTCGTGCCAAAGCATGGCTTTCCCACACTTAAACATACTCTCACACTTACTTATCGTAGTTTAGGTACCCATGTATTCACTAATTATATAGGTACATAACTATGTTAATAACTACCTAATTAGAATTAGTATAGACTCACTGAGAAGGTGGTGCGCTGAAGTGTTACCGTCCCGATTCGCCATTCCATTCTAAGATCACGTAATGGGTAAAAAGTAATAAACTCAAAATTAAGTATTAACGTCTTTCCTTCAGAAATAGCTACGGAGTCCGGCACAGCTTGTACGCAGATGTGTCTCATTAAAGGTAGCTCATCTAAAACACAGCAAACCATTAGAAATTACAAAGATAAAATAAAAATACAAACGATATTACAACTTGTATCTTGCAATAAACAAAAATGAGACATAATATCAAAGTGAGCGCTTACCATTATGTGATTGGCTGGTGAGTGGAATGATGGTAGCTAAATATAGCAATGATACCCATCCTTCTTACCCTTACCTTTAGAGGATCGTAAATTCTGCTTATAATCTCAATTCAGTAATGTTTGTGTTCACACCTACAGCTACTAGGCACCTCTTCTACTACCTTAATATAAGTACATGATAAACCCTATGACATATCAAAATACTTTAAGTATAGTTCTGTCACTATAAATTCTTTGTATAATGACAGAGACGGCACGATATTTAGGTACATCTATATTCAAGTAACGTATACTATAACATAATTTATATAACTACATAAATATTTACAACTTAAAATTAACTACAACTAAACTATTAAATAAAACGAAAGTAAAAAAGAAAACAACAAAAATTATACCCTTAATTTAGGCGTCAAAGAATTCGTCCGCATCACTATCACAGGGGAACGTTCCCAGAAGACTGGCAGCATTGCCACGTTGAATGGCAATGGTATATCTTAAACTTGAGTATCCTTTCAGTATTCGGACGATGGAGTTCATACGGATTACGTTCTTAATTCAAACATATCTAGTACTTAGCAGCTATGTGAAAAATTTCTTAAAACATTTTTTTTTCTATCATTTAGCAACCGAGTTTCTTAAAATATTATTCAAGTCTTCCAAGCTTTTACAGCTAACGTGATGACGTGTTTTGTTTGTTGTCAAATATATATCGGTCAAATAGGCTATTAGCATTTCTTTTGCTGCTGACGATATCTAAACTAAACGCAAAAGTAACACCGTGAATGATGGTAAGATTTTAAGATTTCCCAATCGAATTGTAAACAATTTCCATAGACTTTTTAAAATCGGGATAACAATTTAAGCGATCATGAAACTGAACTAAGCAATTCCAAATGGCCTATTTTGATTATTTTTAAATATTATGTCAACCAGGAAAATTATGTCATACTTTCGAGCGATTTAATAGTAAGTTTAACATAAACATAGAGTTTGAAAGACACGTACTGAAAGACATTTTATTTGAAGCCGACGAAGAAATAATGTAATTAAAAAACTATTTGACTTAAATTTTCTTAAACATATTTGTGGTAGCTATTGAAACTTTGCCGATCACCTGGTGCCATTTGATTGTCGACTTCAGGGACACCCTGTATTTATATAAATACGCTACCCTTAAATCATTTAAGTTTTTCCAAGACAAAGGTTTATAATTAATAACCTATATAGGTAATTACTCCGAATTGAAAGTCGCGGGCGAGAAGTTCATTAAATAATCAAGTATTATAATATGGCTATAGTTACAGCTATATTAAATCTAAATAGTACTTATTCTTACAAGAGGAAACAACCTTTTTATAATAATGAACAAATTTGCTTTTTAGAATTATACATAACGTATAACATAACATCACGCCTTTTATCCCCGAAGAGGTAGGTCGAGGTGCACATTACTACGCTTAATACCACTGTATAATGTGACAACCTCTTTTCACCATTTGTGTTATACCATATGCCTTTTGCCATATACCGGACACAATTCGTGGCTCCGTGCTACTACTGAGATTTTTTTTAAAACCCTGTAATACTTTGCTCGACCCGGGAATCGAACCCAAGACCCCTTGCCTGACCGGCAGTCACACTTGTGACCATATGACCTATGAGGCAGAATGATTATGCAAATTCAATATCTTCTTCTTCTTATGGTGCCACATCATTCCTAAAGGTTGGCGGTCAACTTTTTGAATTGTTCCTAGTCATTGGCCAGACGGAAAAGTTGTTCCACAGAGCTGATACCAGTCCACTCCCGAATATTGCGCAGCCACGACTTTTTCCTTCGCCCAGCGCTTCTCATCCCTTCCACCTTACCCATCATTAATTACACTAGTCAACAAAATTTTGTAACAAGAAAGGTGCTGGCTAATTTTAAAGTACCTACCTACCCTCATTTTATAACCATATTTATTTTGATTCCATCACATCTAGTTTTCGTGTTACAGCTACTACCCACAAAATTAAAAATTAACCTTTTTTGTTTTACTTTCGCATTCAGAGAATTTGTTTATTTGAAGAGCGTAGTGGTTTGTTCTGTTTTTAGAGTAAAGTGATTCTTAAATAATGTCTAGAAAGTGTAAAAATGATCCTGACAAGTTTTGTTACATTTGTGGTGACATTACTTTCAAAACTCAGCGAAGGAATTTGACACCATTAGTAACTAAGTTATATGAACAGTATTTTGGTTTTGCCATCGGACAACAAGACAAAGCATGGGTTCCACACATCTATTGTGTTACATGTGTGGGTCTTCTCACTGGATGGGCGAAAAGATCTCGATCTATGCCTTTTGCAATCACTATGATTTGGACGGAACCAACGAACCACTCATCTGATTGTTATTTTTGTCTTACTGGTACAAAAGGTATTACAATTAAAACAAAAAGTAAAATCAAGTATCCTGACCTGCCATCAGCTAAAAGACCGATCCCTCATAGTGAAGATCTACCGGTACAGAGCCACCTCAACCTAGCGATCTGTCCCTTACGCCAGAAGTCGAAAAAGAGACATTGGATCCTGACTTTCAAGAAGCTTCTTCATCCTCATCTAATGAGCCACATCTTCTATCACAAGGTGATCTCAATGACTTGGTACGCGACTTAAATTTGTCCAAACAACAAGCAGAACTTTTGGGCTCTCGATTAAAGGGATGGAATTTATTACAACCTAAAATAAAAGTATGTTACTTTCGCAATCGAGATGAAGAGCTAAAAGGTTTTTTTTCACAAGATGATCAGCTTGTATTTTGTAATAATGCCCATGGTGTAATGACTGTCTTGGGTATAGAATATAAAGCAGAAGACTGGCGTTTATTTATTGATGGCTCAAAAGTAAGTCTAAAGGCTGTTCTTTTACATATCGGCAATAAACTTCCCTCTATCCCAGTAGGTGAGGCTTCTAATATGAAAGAGTCTTATGAAACTATTAAATTTATATTGAAAAAATTCAGTATAACGAACACAACTGGAAAATTTGTGGAGATTTGAAGGTGATTGCCCTAATTTTAGGATTACAACTTGGTTATACAAAATACTGTTATTTTATTTGTGAGTGGGATAGCAGAGACCGAAAAAATCATTATGTTCAGCAAGACTGGCCCAAAAGGCAATCTCTTACTCCAGGACAAAAAAATATTAAAAACCCTCCATTGGTGCAGCCTGAGAACGTATTTTTACCACCTTTACACATAAAGCTTGGGCTTATGAAGAACTTCGTAAAAGCTATGGATAAGAGTGGTGGCGGTTCTTATATTTAAAAGAAAAATTTCCTAAGCTGAGTGAAGCAAAAATTAAAGAGGGCATATTTATTGGCCCCCAAATCAGGCAATTGATGAAAGATGATATATTTAAAGAAAAGCTTAGTAATTTAGAAAAATCAGCCTGGGAATCTTTCATGAAAGTAACTTCTAATTTTCTAGGAAATCACCGATCAAGTGACTATAAATGTATTATCACGGAGCTTTTATCTACTTATAAGGCTTTGGGCTGTAATATGTCATTGAAAATACATTTTCTCCATTCACATTTAGAGTTCTTTCCTGAAAATTTGGGCGCCGTCAGCGATGAACACGGTGAAAGATTCCATCAAGACATTTCTACCATAGAAAAACGATATCAGGGCAAGTGGAGCCCACGTATGTTAGCGGATTACTGTTGGACATTAAAACGAGACGTTCCTGAAGCAAAATACAGACGAAAATCATAAAAGTAAATTCATATTAATGTAGCAATCAATCGAAATAACTTCATTTGTTTATAAAAATTCAAAATTTCTAAAATGTTATAAAATGGTATTACAAAAAAACTATTCGTATTTGAAGCATTTTAATTTTATTTCTAGTATCCTTATCCTTGTCCTAAACATAACTAGACAAAAGTTCTCATGTTACATGCAAAAATTGTTTTTTTGTTGACTAGTGTTATTATATAATAAACTAGCAAACCCGGCGAACTCCGTTTCGCCACCAGATGGCTTCGTTTTATGTAACATTATTTGCTATAAACCTCACGGAGCCCGAGACCTTTCCAACGAATGCAAAACCGTGGAAATCGGTTCGTGCGTTCTGCAGTTATAGCGTCAGGAAGGAAAACTCGACTTTTTTTTATATGGTAAGATTAAATTACCAAATTCAATTACAATACTAAATTATAATTCAAGGTATACTGCTATGTATATTTACAAACTCTAAGTACATGACACACTTCCTTAGCTCATACGGTTTGCACATAGTAGCTCCTCAATTAATTTTCTCCCAAATTTAAACATTACTAAAGCACGATCGGTTTCTTCTTACAAAAAACAACGAATAGTTTAGTCAATCTCTTCAGAGAATAGTACACAGAATCATCTGGAAACAAGATATTGTTTGTGTGAAATGTCATATTAGAAACGTATGATATTGGTATCATAATGTACATTGTACTTATTGATCAAACGTGCTATAAAAAACCTTGACCAATAAGGTGTCCAGTAAATAGTGCACCACACTGTGAGGGGAGTTAGCTGAAACAATGTCTAATTAAACATCCCAATATATGTTCACCGAAAATGTACGGTTTCAAAATTATACCACATTTTCGCAAATATTGACAAATCACTACTTTAACACACATCTTTTAGCATATATCAGTGAAACAATCTTTTTTTAGTATGTTGTACGTCAATATATTCGTGGATAAATACTCTATTCAATGGTACGTCTTTCTAGAGGTAATATCAGATGTAAGAGATTTTTTAGGAAAAACAGGAAAAACAATAGTTTTTCCTAAAAAATCTCTCTAGGAAGAAAGAAAACTGACACAAGCAGTAGCTTGTTTCCTAGAACAATTTTCTTGTCACTCAACTTCAATTTACAGTAGTGAAAAAAATGTAGGTAGGTGGAAACTCCCTCATTTAATAGTGGTTTGGAGGGGCATAATAATAGTACAAATAATCCACTCACAGTAATATGCTCTATTTTCTAGACACCTTGTATATTATAGTAATATATTGTATAAATGCATCTACCTATTATATATGTATATATTAATATAATATGTTTTATAATCAAACATTTGTAATACCTAGTTTTGCTTTATATGCATATAATAAAATAGATACATAATTACGTACATACCATGCTTTTGATCAGTATTTATGAAATTATTAGATTTAACATGACAGAGAAAGTATACATATTCAATTAATATAATTATTATAATTTAATTCAAACTACTAAGTGGTGCATCAAAAAATATCTGGCGAATGAACTAATAAGAAAGAGTGTTATATTATAATTATATAAAGGTAATTGTATACTTTATAATAATATAATAGTAATATTAAACTAATATTTACATAATTACTGGATTTCGTAATATATTTTCTACCTAATACAATCTCTTATACAATATATTAAAGATACAATTTTAGCTCACAGTTTCAGCATGCAGTGCATGCTACTAAATATTAAGTTAAGCTATCGAACTATATAATTATATTATCACCTATTTAGAGGGACTGTGCAGCTATAAGTACCTACAGAATTTATGATATATATTATTCATAATTATATTATGCACCGTGAAATCTAATATTTCGTTTTCGTCACGCGGCAAAACCACTTGCCGTAAAAAGTACTTTCGATGGAGGAAGAAAAAATAATGATATCATTTTTGTGAATTAAATTTTTCTTTGAAATACGCACATGAAACACTAGACACAAATTTGTACCCACTACTCGCATCGCACATGCCACGCGCCGAAGAACACTCTTTAAGAATAACATAGCGTGATGTTTTGATAATGCAAGTTTGCTTTTTGCAATGGTTCATCAGTTATTTTATTTCTTTGTATTACCGAGACATTTTACTTCAGGGCGAAAACGAAATAAATTTCACAGCGTATATAGTTGACCCATTCATCTTATTCAAGGTAAATAATAATAATATTTTTTTATTATAAATAATAATACTGTTATAATAATAATAATAAATAATGTGTGTCCATTACATTTATATTAAAATTGTCGAAAGGGCATCTGCGCAGTTGGCTTCGGCCCCTCGTACGCCTCCCAAATGACCGGGACCCTGTGGTCCCGTGAATGGTAAAGACATACATAATAAATAATAATATAATATTATTATAAATAATAATACTTATACATAGTTATAGTCCCTATAATTACTCTACCTATTACTGCGACTAGCTAATATTTTACGCCCGCATGCTGACGTAAGGTATGTCTTTAGGTATGCATAATAATACTTTTTAGCCCTCTCAATGACATTTATGTATCATAAAATCTAAGATCGGAAACTAGACCAGACTAGACTCGAGCTTTTCTCAGTATATTCACGTTATTAACACGCGATTTTTAGTCAATTTAGTATGTCTGACGATAGTTGTTATAAAAAATATCAATCCCATGTTTTTAGTCATAGAAACTTATTAATATTTATATTTTAATGTTCTTTGTTTCCTTTAGATATCAATGATTTCAGACTTGGTTATATGAAACTAAAGTCATTGGATATCTCAAAATCTAAACAATAACAATGTGACATTAAAAAAGCCACATTGAAATCAAAATGAGTTCCATTTTGATTAAATTAAACCCGTTCCTACCACATTAAAAGTTAGGATTCTGTTAATAATTGTGATCAGTCAATTGTGAATCATCGTTACAATTTATAGAAAATCTCTCCAACATTAGCTAGTCATTACTTAATTCATGCATAGTACTTTTGTGTGCAGTGTGCTATTCATAATCGCATAACAACCTAGTCTAAATTCCATTCACATTGCGTTCTACTTGGATCACCTCCTCATCGTCTTCGTTATCATTGTCGTCCTCTTGATCATTTTCATCATTTTCGTCATTCCTATGGTCTTCTTCCTGATCATCAGCTTCTATTTCTTCTTCTTCGTCTTCCTCACCATTGCCATCATCCTCAATATTCTCATTTAATACGTCATTCTCATTGTCAAAATCGTGAAAATGTAGGTCATTTTGGATTTCTTCCTCTTGATATGTTGAATTGAAATAATTATTCGTTTTTAAAGCTATTTTATAGTAACTAAATTACTTGTTTGTGTTTTGTTAACGAAATATTGAGATTATTATTGCAGATTTTTTATATTTATTTATTTTTATTTTTTTGGATAGGCGAAGCCTATGTATGCTTTGGATCTACTTCTACAATGAATAATGAATGAAAATGAGCTAAATAAATAATGGTTTCTAAGGCAGACATATTATCGGAAGCCTCTTTACATTTCGCTCTGTTAATTTCTCTGGCTCTAATAAATTGGTTACCAGAAATAATAATTATAATTTCGGTTTAATCATTCGCTGCTAAGATAGTACAAGTTTTATAGCACAGCCAGTAACGTTATTTGGTAATTTATATTACAATAATTTTCTAAAATTTCAAAAGTTTAATCAGCTGAATAACAATTCATTTGTGATTCTTCCGAAAATAAGTCTATTGGCACTACTTACACATAATTATTCAAATGGTCAATGTTAAATTGTATTTAAAATTAACTTTGTCACCACACTACATAATCATATAATTTAAAACGGCATAGAAAAGGTAAATTAAGTAAATAATAATTGGGAATAAAAATGTAAATTAAAAAGAAATGAAGGAAAATTAATCTGAGAATAGTTCCTTTGCTGCCGGAATGAGTCACCAGCAATAATGATATAGACTAGTAGATTGACCACCTGATGGTGAACACATCAGCACTCCCCATGCAACATGAGAGGTTAACCAGCTTATTGTTAACTTTTAAAAAGAAGTACGTACTTTAACGCAAATATGTTAAGTACTTGATACCATTTGAAATTCTCGACCAGTCAACCCTTTGGCTGATAAAGAGATAAGTAACTATTAAGTTACTATTGAATTTACATACATACATTCATAACTTCACGCCTGTCTCCCATGGGGGTAGGCAGAGACTATGGAACGCCAATTACTACGATTCCTACATACCTCTTTCGCTTTATTAACAGTCATTAATCTTTTCGTGCATTCTCATCGGTTGATGGTACTTTTAATTTGGCCCTTTCTTAATATATCGCCAATCGGATCACTATATATACATATATACTATTGAATTTATTTCTCAATTTTCTGCGTTGATCAAATGCCCCACTTAATGGAGAGAGAGATAAAGAATTTGTCTTTCAAAAAAGAGTCTCCTATAATTAATCACACTTGTCCAAGACGTTTACAATAGGCGTCAATTAACATACTAAATCCCATTTATTTAGTTTTCTTTTTTGAGTGGCGGCCAAAGTTCAGAAATAAAACATCTGTCTGTCCTATTTTATGAAGCTCAGCCAGATTCTTAACACGAACACCACTAACCTAATGAAAAACAAAAAAAAAGCATAATAAAATAAAATAAAGTAAAAATTCAAATAATTTAAAAAAAAATCCATAGTACTAAAATTTTGTTGGTTCTGTTTTCGCAATAACATTAACCATTGTGTATTATGTAATGATTACTTACGAAGCGGTGGGTCCAAGTGGTCATCAGTTCCTGACTCAAACTCGGGCGTCGAGCTAGAGTTAGATCCCTGTAATAAAATAAACTTTACGCACCAGAACATTAGGTTACATTTATAATAAAATTAGACCCCTAGAATTGGAATAAAGTAGTATTTTTTAACACCCTTATTTTACATACTAAGTTACGAAAACATTACATGAGTTTGTAAATCATAAGGACATTATATCTGATCAGTTATTTTATGCAGACATGTCTATGACATTGTCAGAGAGAGCAGTCCTATGTTAAATAAATATTTATTAAAATATGAGCCAATGATTGAAAAACATTAGTAATTTTTTTTGACTCCGCTAGGCGGTGATCTGTTCGTCTGTTTATGTGCAGGAACTGTTGTGCCATATCCTGTCAAAGGACATCGAAATATCCGGCGTGACTCCCAATACCTCCCCATATCTCTCGATGGCCTTGCTCCAAATATAAGTGGCATAAAAAGATCGCATCACATCCCAATCTGCTGACTGTATTGCCACATCCACATGTGTGTGTGAGTGTGTGTGTGTGTGTGTGTGTGTGTGTGTAAGTATGATTTTATACAGGGTGACTTCTTATTTTGGTTTCAAAAATTATCGACCCTGGTCTATAAACAAAAAATAAATAACTTCAATTACCATTTTTGTAAAAAATATCAAGTTTGCTTAATAAAGTTGGAAAAGAACAATGTGAAAGGGTGCTATTTCTTGCATATGGCCTTTTACCATAATAATACGTTGAATAAACGCAAAGCGTTATTATTTGAATTCATAATCAACGTGGGATTGAACAAATGTTGCAAAAGTTTCACTTCAGCTGTGTAATAGTAGGTATTATGTACGCTGTAGTGATGGTTTAAGATAACTCGTCCTGCCGTGGAACTTTGTGTTTCCTTATTTTAATTGTTACTCTACTATCAAACTTGCAACTGCTTTGCAATTATTAAAAATTATAGTATGAATATTTCAAACAGTAGTACTATTGTAAAGTGTTCTCTTTTGTGAATTTTATTTTTCATGTGTGTGCATGTGTCTTTTATTATTATTATTTTTTAAATATCTGCTATACATTTAGGGGCTTTTGACAATACGACCACGCCAGCCCCATCATAAACTAATACAGGAATTAAACGATGTTTCTTTTATAGTCTGTTATTTGCAGGTAACATATACATATCCGATAAAGATGTCAACTTTAAGTAAATTTCGACGTTCAGTTATTCCCAATCACTCTTATTCTGAGGTTTACTGAAATTACACAATGTATGTACATAATTCTGAACTCCGAGTTCAAACCATACACTATAAGTACTTACCTCATTCAGCGCTTGCATCATCTTTTGAGACAAAGTGCGGACACTGTAACAAAAAGAATTTTGTTAGTATTTCAGTATAAAACAAATATAACGCCGACGGTCACATCTACCTGAATTAAATCACCGAATACAGTATATTATGATCGTATATCTACAGGTATCCCGAATTGCTTGTCCAAAATGGATCTTGTTTGTCATGTCATACAATAGTATAAAAAACATTTCAACATATTATTATTCGCTAGCAATGTCTGAAACTTTAAGCGGCTTCAATTACTGCACGTTTGGTGCGGTGGCTGGGCAACCGGCTGCCATGCAGCGTGTCGCGGTTTCAATTCCCGCACGGAACAACACTTTGTGTGATCCACAAATTGTTGTTCCGGGTCTGGGTGTCATATGTATGTAAATTTGTATGTTTGTAAACGCACCCACGACACAGGAGAAAATCCTAGTGTGGAGCAACGTTTTTTTTTAAATGGAAAAAAATATATCTCTTTTACCCTATTTTACCTGTACATTTTACCTGTCTAACATTTTGTGTTGTAAATAAAAATAATAAGTTGTTATCAGATTCGACAGAAATCATTCTCTTCACCTCGACACTCTAAACCCTGTCACTTAAGTATGTATAATGTAAGAGTTTCCAGAGAGGCAACCCGCGTGCCATAACGGGATAGCTTCCTGATCAATGTATCGTGAAGAACACAATCAAACGCCTTGTATAAATCACAATATTCCCAAAGTGTCACTTGAGTCTTCCCATGCGTCATACATATGTTTAAGACGTTCAACACAGGCATCGGTAGTTGAAAACTAAAATTATTATGTAGCACTGAAATAGATCTAAAGTTAGTAGGGTCAGAAGTACTACCCGATTGAAATAACGGAGTTATTTTATTATTCTTCATAATATCAGAAAAACGCCACGGTCGATACAGTTATTATAAATTACAGCTAGCACAAGTGCTATTATAGTAATTACAGAGCTAGTACTATTATCGGAATTACGCCATAGATCTGCAGTCGTTTTTTATTGTTTTTTTATGGCATAAGCCGGTAAACGAGCAGACGAACCACCTGATGGTAAGCAATCGGCGCATGGTATTCCATATGTCCATCACATGGAATACCAAGGCGTTACAAGTACGTTACCAGTCTTTTGGGAATTGGGAATCTGAGCATTGTGGAGGATTCGGGGATTGGGGAGACTGGAAAGGGTAGGTCAGGGTTGTAGGTAGGGTAGGTTAGGTTAAGTTAGGGGGGGTGATAAGGCCGCCGATAACCTCACTCACACGCTTCGTATTGTTTTTTTGCGTCAAATAAAAAAATCGTGCCTAATATTTTTCCTTTGCTTAACTGACGAACTAAATAAATTTTTGAGTGTGTATTTAAAGTATTAGAGAATACTACACGCAACTGATACTACGCATATAATTAACATCTATATTAACTATTTTATATAGTGTCAAAGCTAAAAATTAAACTTTGATCACATAATTGTCGATTTTTAAGATTGTAAAATCAATCTACACGAAATAAAGCCTCGTAGCAACTCGTAGCACGTTCGTAGCACGCTCGTAGTACATCCGTAGCACTGGCATTACGCATACTGCATACTACAGACCCCACTTATACTTGTAATATACCCCACATTAAATTAATAAACATATTATGAGAACTATACGTCTTTAATTCCAAAAAGGGAGGACAGATCTTGACATAAATATTAAATTAAGTTCAACCATAGTCACAACAATATAATAAAATAAAAATAATAAAACATTTATTAGCACTTCAGAGAATTAACACAGTGAAGCCCTGGCTGTACTAGGTATCGCTGTATCACAATAGCCAGAATTACGGATTGAATACAAAAACTATAGAAATATATTATTTATGCAAAGTTCGTAGAAAATTGTGGACACCGCGTACCACATAGCTACAGCTATAAAAAAATAAAATACCAGCTAACTACAAAAAGTGCTACAAACGTAATAAGTATAATTAAATGAACATACTAATTGACACTAACAGGGTATATTAAACAAAGAACACACTACAGATACTATAAATAGGAGTAACGGCCTGGCCACGAGGACCGGTGCGGCGGCGCGGACGGCGGATCGGCGGGCGACGCGAAGATTCGCGGGGCGGCGTTTACGGGCCACGGGCAGAGGCTCACTGAGCATAAGAGGCGGAACTTAGAAGTTCAATTTCTGATGGTTTCGTAAACGATTTTAAACAATCTGATTAAAAAAACAAAGCTATCCAATAATACATTCGTAATGGACTTTCGTTTACCTGAATGTTAGCTTTATTTAAAGGAATGATCCATCCAACGAGCAGGTGTAGGAACAGGGTGTCTTTAGTCGGTAAGAGTCTGACCTGAATGTTGGCTAATCCATACAAAAATATATTAGTTCTAAGTTTCAATAGACTGGTACTAAGATTCATTACTTCTAAGATTGATTCATTTTTTACACTTTGGTCGCGCTGCGTGTTTCGTGGCCAAACCGTTAGGGTCGAATACAAAGAATTACCAGTATAAACTGACCTGTATTAAACAGGTGGAGCACAAACTGAGAGTTCAATTTATAGTGGTATCCGTCTAGGAAATTCGTTGTTAAAAATATATATTTTTACAGGAAAAATTTAATAATGCCGTTTACAGAGGTTTATTTTTAGCACCAGGATCGTGACTCACTGAACGTAAAGAGCTTTATCTGGAATTAATTCATTGCATTGTATTTTTATACGTATTTTAAACCTTAATGCAGTAGTTAATACAAGGGCTTTACTACCGTAGTGAGTATTGAATTCTTTTATCATTGTTAAGTTTATTGTACCTCGATAAATAATGCTATGTTTATTGTGTTGTCTTACAATCATAAGAGACAGAACAAAATAACTGAAATTCTATTTCTATTCGTACGACAATAGAAAAGTATTTTTATTTAGTTTCAAACACCTTATTTTCTAAAGAAAATATTTTAGAAGTAATCTTTAGTTTGGTATATAAATCTACATGACTGAGTACCTCCTTACCTTATGGTGCATCTACACATGCCCGCCGGCACGATCGGCGGCAAACCCGGCGACATAAGCCGGTGGCAAGTGTGGATGTGCCATTAAGTGAAGGATTTTTTTTTAATATTCTATTTAAATCATCCACGTACTCAAGGTCCGTGCCCTTGTTATAAAATGTGTTTTAAGGTAGGTGTAATAAAACACTATAACACTAGTGCTTTATTACTAATACTCAATATTCCAGTGCAAGAAGACCTATCAAAACGCCTTAAAACCAGGCAGCCAGAGCTCAGCTTACGGTGGACATGAAATACCGTTCCCTTGTTCCACATCAGAAAGCAATGACAACTATTTCTACGAACCCTTCGGAAATGTGAAAATAGAAAATATAGCGGGGCGCTTACAACCTTTTTGTATTGTTTTCAAAGCAAAAACTTCCGATGACTTTGTATATAAAATACAGTTAGCTCCAAACAGTATTTAAATACTATTTAAGTCTATACTTATTGAGTGTCCATCTTTGTTTTGTAGCCATTACTTTTAAAAATCCTAGCACGTGTTCTATTTTTGAAAAAGATTCTTTTAAGTCTCCGTGGCTTATAACGATTTCATATATTCAAATAGAAAAATAGAAATATATAGAAATAGAAATTTATTCGCAGGAACATGTGATACAATGGATCTTAGTCTAATTGTTTACAGTACAGTGTATTCCATCTTTTCCAGGCATGCATATGTTAATTTAATGCAATTTAATTTAATTGATTATTAAGTAATGTCAAGATACAGATTTCAAAATGTCAAATTAACATTTTAAATACAAGTCAAGGTGGCTTTATGTCTCTGAAATTACATGTCATATTAAAATTTATTTCTTTCAACAATTCCATTCTCAATAAAGTCCTTAATACTATAAAAACATTTCAAGAAATATTTGGGTGACGTGTACGCTCCCTTTATGGTTAAATCTTGTTGAGTAGTGAATATTTTAGAAGTCTCCATTCGTTAGTGCAGGTAGTATTAGTACCGGAGCAGCGCCACAAGTCCTGTCTACTTAAACCCTCATTACATTTATGAAAGCGACGAGGTCGGGAAGTGAGAATATGAAGGTACTCATTCATAACGATGTGATACTTATGTGAAGGTTTCTCAGTTGTAATGCTTTCATTTTATTTATAAATACATATAATTTTCTAGTTTTTTTATTGTAGGCTCAATGTGACTCATTGTTATCCAACATAACATAACATAGCATAGTATCACGCCTTTTATCCTTGAATGGGTAGGCAGAAGTGTACATTATACCACTGTACAATGTAACACCCACTTTTCTCTATTTATGTTATGAGTCCCATTTAATAGGGGGTGAGCCTATTGCCATATATACCGGGCACAATTCCAGACTCCGTGCTACTACTGAGAATTTTTTAAAACCCAGTAATACTTTGCCCGACCAGGGAATCGAACCCGAGACCCCTTGCCCGGCAGTTGCACTTGCGACCACTCGGCTAACGAAGCTATATTATCCAACTCTGATATAAATCAAATAACCGTCAAACAAATGTAATTCATTATTCTTCTTTGTTCCACGTTCAAAAATCTTATTTTTATTTGCACTACACATTCTTTTAAAACAATATTTGCATCAATTTATTTGAAATTTGTTCCTATTAACTCAACAATGTACGCCCATGACAAACAAAATCGAACAAACAAATTCGATACGAATTTATTTGATACGTTTCCGATCGACTGTAGTTAATAGGATTTAAATTGGAGAAACAAAAACTTTCGTCATAAATATTGCTTTCCATGTCAGACGTATTGATGATAGGTACCTGGAAATATTCCAAATTTCTGCGTACTACTTCATCCTCCCAACGCCACTCCGTCCGTTCGAAGTTCGAGTTTGAAAACCGTTTTATTTTGTACTTCAATTCCCCCTTATTCAAAAAGAAACACTATAAATACGAATGTTGCATACCATCACTCGTGTACGATATCAACCGGTCATGTTTATTCACTGTTTGGCAATATATGCAGGGCGATGTTTGCTTTCACAGAGTACAGTTTTGTGTACACTACGTCAAAGAGAGGTCCACAGAGTTGTAGAGACTGTCTGTCAGTGGGTGTATGCACATGGGAGTATAGAGTAATATCGATTAATATAGATCAGACATGTTAGGAGATATCCATTGACTGTTGATCTATATGTGTCTCCGGGCTAAATTCAAAAAGAACTGCATTATCGGTTTTATCTTCTTCTCCTCTTATAATATAATCTGATTCACTTCGTTGCGGGAACCAAGACAGTTACTCATGACGCGCCGGACTTCAGTGTTCCGGTGTTTTCATGGTTGTATCTAATGTAGATCCTGGCTTACAGGAGTTGCAGCGATTTTGGGAGGTTGTGGCGGGATTGTCCCAAAAAAAAAGTACTAATGTTCTACACACGTCAGCTAAAATCTCCCGGTAAAAGGCGTGTATGCAA